ACTCTTTTGTCAGTAGAAACTGAATTTACTGCAACGTATTCAGGCGTGGGGGCATGTATCTAAACGTGATTAACTGTCTTTAATGGTCTGACCACTGCTTGGTTTGGGTAGTAGCTTGGTGTTGTTTTAGGAACGGTGGAGGGCAGTGAGAAAAAGAAATAAGCTGTGAAGTACCTGAATCAATAAGATGCTTTTAGGTCTTGAGGAATTTCATTCTAGGCTGCTTTCAAAAGTAGCTGCTGAAATTAGAGAGTTCTTAGGAATCAGGTGGCTTTTTGGCTGTGGGTGCCTAGCACCATCTTCCCAAGTTCTTTAAGGCTGTCTGTAATTCTGCTTTGATTTCATCTTCCGCAATAGATCGCTCCCGAGACAGACTTGAGTGGATGAATCTCACTTGTATGTTATTTTATTATTTGCTGCCTCAATTAGATTCTAAAACATTTAGATCACAAGGGCACTCTTCACACATGTTTGAAAAGAACCTGTGCTGCGTGCTCTCAAACACTTGTCCTGTTGTTCCCCCACCCCCTGCCAAAATGGTGTTTTATTATAAAACATAATGTGGCTATTTGCTTAAAAAGGTGCAAGGAATGCTTCACTGGGATTTGCTTTTAATTTCTGATGTATACTAACTGTTTTTCTTAGGTAGAAGTTTAAGCTGGTGGTGTATCTGAATTTTAGAAGAAGAGACTGAGCTTTGAACAAATGCAGCTGAATGTTACCACTGGAGCCTTACCAGAACCTTTGTGAGAAACATGTAGGTGTCTTTAGGGTTGCTGAATGTCTCGGTGAGGCATGCAGGCTGTTTTCAGCATTATGTTGTCTTTCTTGTCTCTGGTTTATAATTGTTGCACTTCAACAATATGACTGCATGCTGTTACTTAATCAGACATTGAATAAATTATCAAGAAAGCTTTCTGTATAATTGTTCAGTGGCTTAAAGCTTCTTACGGATCCTTTGTTATGTGATATCTTTTCTACTTTTCCCCAATTTTCCTGTCTCTTTCCCTTAAAAAGGGACCTTGGATCGTGTGGAACCCTGGAAGACTGGAAATGTGCATTCAGTAAGAAACTGAGTAAGCTCAGGAAAGTGGTTGTGGGACCACCCATCACTGCTGGAGCAATGAGAGCCAGGCGAGAAGGTGGGAGCCTGATGCTCCTACAGGGCCTGAAGAAAAACTAAGAAAGGGTTGGGAAGAAGCAGGTAGTTGAGAATGAGCTGAACCATGGGAAGAAGTTTCCTAAATATGAGCATGTGTTGCTCTGCCTTACAAAGCCTCTGTTGACTGAAGTCTGACTTGGAAGCCACAACCTGCTGTCCAAGGCACAGTGCTCAGGGAAGAATCTTGTTTATAATCCTTCTACGCTTCCATTCTCTCATATACTTGCTTTTGTATCTTGCTAAAATCTTCATAAAATCTGACATCGGTGGAGTGTGAGGTCTGCTTTGAGGAAACTATATAAGGAGAAGGTGTAAGCAGAGCCCTGTGAAAGCTATGGCTGCCTTTGTATCCTGTTACATTCCTGCAGTCAGCTGTAGATGTTTCTGATTGCAGTGATGTTTGGTGGATAACAAGTGTTGAAGTGGCTGTTATGCGGCTGTTTGCTGCCTGAGCTCAGCAGTTTGTGCTCTGTAGGCAGAGTGGGCACTCTTCCTCTTGTGAAAAGGAAAAGTGAATTATTAGAAGTTTAGTCACTGATGAGCAATCAGAACTGTGCTGAGCTGAGCTTTACAGGTCTTGCTGCAAATCACAACATCACAATGGTTTTTAAGTGAGTTAATAAGTGTTAAATAAGTTTAGCTCATCATCTAGGTTGGTTTCCAGTAGAAAAAAACTAAAACATATGGGCAGTCAAATGCCGTTTATATACATGCAAACTAAGGAAAAATCTACTGTGGTTTCTGTCTTACCTTTGGGCACAATGCTAGTTGTACACCAACCAGTTTTAGTACACCAAGTACGGACACTTTTTCTTAAATGGAGAGTTGTTTATTTGGCATTTGCAGAAGAAAACTGAAATAAATACAGCTTTTACAGTTTAATGTTGTTTGAAGAAGCGTTTCAAGGTCAGCATCTGTGGAATGATGGAAACAGTGAGTGACCGTATATGAAAAAAATGGCAATGCAGCTTGTCTAGAATTTCACAGAAATCTGACTCATTTAAGGTAAGACTTCAGGACAGTGTTCAGTGGTTGTAACTGTGAAACCATCTTCTGTCCACCTGCTTCAGTCACTGCCCAGAGTCCTGTTTGCTCTGATTTCCATTGTGATTAGTGTAGGTGTGACATGTGGGACAGGGGCACTGCTGAGAACTTAGAGATAGTGAGATGTGATACCTCTACCAAATGCAAGTGTTGGTTGGTTTTGGGGTATTTACTTCTGTCTTTTTATTTTTTATTTTTCAAATAAGATTATTTATATTCATCTCATCTATGAACTTAAGTTGAAGTGGAGAAAATAACGAGCCAAGATAGCAGTAATTAAAGTCTGAGTGTCACTGAGATAACTGGTGGAACATGAAGACTTTTGGAAATAGAATTCCCAGAGGAAATTTTGTTGGTTCTTTCCCTAAAGCCATGATCTGACTTAGTGGGATGTAACATTGTTAGTGTTTTCTAAGAATGCACCAATGAGCCTGAAGAAAATTCCTTGGGAAAGGGTTTTACTAACCAGAATAAAGCTCTGTGCTAGTTGGCAAATACAGCCATTGGAAACTGTGCATTTTGTTCTTTTATTGTAAGGTGAGGAAAAACTCTTTGATTGTCCATGGTGTGGTGCTCGTGAAAGTGCTTTTTAAGGTGATGATGCCCGAATCATTAGGATAGCTTTGAAGAAATGGGAATGAGAAGGTAGAATTTAATGTCACATGAAGAAAATACATAGTCAAGATGTGTGTTTCTACAAGTGGTTTGGTATGGCTGTTCTGCTTCCAGAGAGTAAATGTTCAGAATAGAATGCTGCATGTTTGCTGACTTCAGTAGGCCAAGAAAGCTTCTAACAGGCTACCAATGTGAACAACGTTTGAGCACTGAGTTTAGTGGCAGTGTGAACCCATCTAATTGTGTTTAACTGGCAGCAGCAGAACTCCTGGCTGTCTGATCCAGGCTGCTCTTGGAGCTGGTGCTGATGGTTCCTGAAATCTGTTTGGTCACCCAGCTCAGGAAAATCCTTCTTAAAAAAATGTGTGCTCTTGGGGTAGTAAAACTTGTTTGGAAAGCTGTTGTCCGAATCCCAGTTGGTTTGTCATGCAGCTCAGAACTTTGTAGCTCTGTTCACAGGAAGATGTGGTTATTCAGCTTTGTTTTAGGCAGGACGTACTGCTGTTTAAAAAGAAGTGGCAGAAAAGTCCATGTTGAGAGACAGATAGTGTTTGATATTCAGGAGTTGCAGATCTTCAGTAAGACTTTTTTTTTATAGAGTGCTCTGAGATCTTTTCTAATAAGTCGTGCAAAGTTGATTCAAAAAGCTGTGTAACTTTCAAATAAGAAGGTCATAACAGAATTAATGCCTTAATTATTGAATTTAAGGCCCATAATCCACTCTTAGGAGATGACTTAAATGTTCTAATGAGAAACACATTGATACTTCCGTGTGTGGTGTTCTGTGCAGCTGAAAGAAACAAGTGCTTTATCACACATAAAGAGTATCAATAAAGAATTGTGCATGGCTTCCTGTTTTTTATGTTGTCCCACTTGAAAAAACGTTCTTTTGGCTGAGGCTTGGTTTATTGTTCTGTAACAATACTTGTGTATCACTTGCTGGCTGAGGACCTTGGAGCTGTTAGGCTGGTCTGACAGACTATAAGGCTGTGCTGGGTCTAGAATGACTAAAACAGAGGATGGAAAACACATTTATTTCCTAATATGCCACACAGCAAGTAGTGGGAGATCAGTGGCAACTTGCAGCCTTGTTTTCAAGGGGTAGACCATGCTATTGTTCACCATACAGCCCTTCAAACTTCTGATTAATGATCTTGGTGAAGGTGTTCTTTGGCTCCTGGTTTTCTCTGGCCATTTCCCCTTGGAGCTGTGGGTGGGGGAGGAGGGCACCTCGATGTCTGTAGGCAGTACAGAAGAATTAGATGCTCTGTGTTATCTGCTTTGCTAAGGTGTAACAGCCAGAAGCTGGTGATGGGACTCATCTTCGTAGTCATACGTGTGTGAATGTATTCTGCTTGTGTCCTTATTGAGCATGCAGAGTATTAGAATTATGCATGGATGGGCTGCTCAGCCTCGAATTGGTTGTGCAGTCTGTGCCTATCAGATTGTGCTTTGAGGTAGAACAGCCAGATGTACAAAAATACCAGCACTGGCTTCTCTTAGGCTACAAAAGGATGTTGATTTGGCCAGCATGACTCTCCTATTTAGTAACCCTCAGGCAAGGCTCAGCAATGTAAAATGGATCTGTACAGATCCATGTGGTGAAGGTCTTTGGGAGGTACCACGAAGGCTGTTTGACCTCATAACTTCCATTCCTTCACGTGCATTGCTGTACATGAGCTGATGTGGCTGTCAGATGCAACCTGTAACCATGATGGGGAAAATGGAAGTTCCAAGAAAACAAAGAGAAGCAGAGGGAAATAAAAGGAAAATAAATGGAAGGATTATAATTCTGACACAGTTTTTCCTAACCTGTTCTGCCAGAAAACTTCAAGACCTTGTAGAGTTCTGCACAGATGTAATTTGTTTCCACTGAACCCTTGAAAGAAGCTTTGTAAGTAGGTCAGATACAGTTTCCTTGCTTTAAAGTTGTATCTCTTCCGCTATTTATGAAACTGTAAGCAATCTTGAGAATAAATGAACTGATCTGAGTTGCTGAAAATATGCAGCCACTAAGGTAGATTTCTGTATGTGGTTCTGATGTCTTTCATTATTTAACGGGACGTTTCCACGTGTGTGGAAAAAGAATCAATCCAGAGGATGGATTGAGGAAAGAGTCAATCCAGAAAAGTTGAATAAATATTACTTTTATATAATAATAGAGGCTTGAACTTAGACAGCTACCAGCCTCATTTTTTCTTGCTGTTACTGTGAGCTGGCATTGTTTTCTGCTTGAAGCTTATCATGAGGCATGTAGGGCTTTTTCCTTCTTTTTTTCCCCTTACTCTTACCGTTTGGTTTAATAGATATGTGACATTCTCACCAAAAAAGATTTGACTTCTATGTGCCCATGGAAGTAGATGGAAAGCAGTTTTTTGGTGGTTGTAATTTGGTTTAGTCACCTAAGGAAGTATAACTTTACCTTTCACGCGGTGTTCTAACATTAGTTTCATGTTTACATTTGGAAATAAATGTGCATTGATCCTTCTAACTTTCCTCTACTTGGGCAAAAATGTGTTGATGATCTGAATGAAGAGGCTTTGTGACTTAAGGTGTGTTTGCAATAGAGACACGACTTGGCAAAGTAGGAACTGCTAGGTATATTTTTGATGCAATCGCGTAGCAGGGACAGACTGGTGTCAGTTCTGCTGCTAACCAGGAAGGAAAATAAAACTGCAACAGTATATGTTTATGGGAAATGATTGCAAATGTTTATAGATCTCTTACCTTGTATAAGGTGCACGTGTTAGTCCTTGTGTTTCAGGAAGAGCAGAGAGAAATGGGAGATGGTGGAAGGAATACAGCACTGCTGGCTAGAAACAGCTTTGTGTAAGAAGAGATTGATGGGGGTGGTATTGTTTAGTTCTAAGCCAAGGTACCTGAAGGAAGATACAAGGCATGGAAATCGGGACTGACATGATGGATGAAGACAACAGTTGGCTGCCTTGTATCATTCAGAGTCTGTGGATATCAGCTCTCAGGTACTGGCTGTGTTGATGGCTGCTTTTACAGAGCAGACGCAGGAGTCTGCTAATTCTGTATGTACTCAGACAGCGATTTCAGTCATGTATGGTGTCTTAAAAAACAAAGCTGTACAAAATTTTAAATAGCTGCTCAGAGAGACCCTTTTATTAGCTTCGTTCAAGGAATGCAGCAGCACTTTTGCAGAACTAAATTTAATGTAATCAGATGTGGGGCGAATCTTTTTTAAGAGAATGAGGCAGCTGACTTAAGTCTGCGTGTTTTATGAATTCAAGCTTAATAGTTTGGTGGATATTCTTGGTGTGTTTTCAATGAGAAAGTAGAAATTTGTGTGCCAGCTGTTGTTTTTCATGTCAGATATTTGCTCTGCACTCGGCTGTGTGGACATTTCCTGCTCTGGCCTTGACTCACTTTTAAAACTCGTTTAGGAACTCCTTGGAAGAATTATTTTTTTTCTGCAAAAAAAATACAAGGGATGCAACACTGCATGCATGTCAAGTGTTGTGAAGTATAAATAACATCGAGCTCATTTCCTTTTGACCAATGGACATCACATAGTATTCATTTGGTCTTCAAATCCATTGAACAGCATTTCTAAGAACTGCTAGATATTTTATGTTTTACCAAAACAATCCCTTGTTGCTATCAGGTAAATATAAGATGACATCCCTTCATTTCATGATGTTCCTCCGCCTCTTATTTTATTTTTTTCCTTTTCTGTTTTAACCCCGAGCTGCATCAGAGTGGCATGGCTGTTTCCTTGGCGTGGATGGGATGTGTTGTGAAGTGCAGCCTGTGACTAATCGCCTCTTGCTGTCTCTGCCTATTAGCTGTCTGATGGTGATGTGGTTGCACCACTTTCTACACATGGCCTCAAGGATCTGGCATTGTGACACCCGTATTAAAATATGCAACACTTGATTTCTGGAGATGTTTTGGGTTGGAAAATCGGAGAGGTTATGAACTGATGTTGTGGCTGTTTCTACCCTTTTGTTTTAATGACTGTTAGGTGGTAATTGAGTGAGGTGTACCTAATTAATCCCTGACTATGTATTTTAGTGTACAGTCGATGTCCTAGGGACTATTTATTTTCAGTTTTTCTCCCATTTTGTTGAGTTGATTTGAGCACTGTGGGTATATGGCTTAACGGTTGAGTTTTGCTTTGCTTTGTTGCTGTGATAATTTTAAAATTGAAAACACGCTTGAAGTTTGTTAAAAGTCAGTGCTGAGCACGTTGATTTGATGAATTATTACCACATGAAAATACCATGAAGGCACTTTGGGTTTTCAGGTTCACATGCACCTTAATCTTCCTAAACAGTTTACCAAATGCAGACAAGTCCTGGACTGATGATTGATTTATTGGCAAATGTGAAACTTGCAGGCTGTTGTGGAGAGTGTAGCTGTGTGAACTTCACAATTAACTGCTGGCATCTTGAGAGCTGTGGAGTAGTTCTGTTGAGAGAACATTTTCTGTCTATGACTTCTGTCATGTTTAAGTAAAGGCATTCCCAGTTCTGTTGTATCTCACACCCCTGACCTCAACCCCAAATGCTGTTCTATGAAACAGAATGTCATTTAGTTTAGGAAAATAGGAAGTCTAAAACTGATGAGGAAGCATCATTAATTTTTTCCACTTTTTTTTTAGGGGTTTATAAGAAGATATAGGAACCGTTTCTCAAGCTGAAGACAAAGTAAAAGAAAACTGTATCATGTGTTAAAATACCGAAGGGTGAAATTTCTTGGATTAGCATATTTCTGGATTGCAAAGGAAAGGAAAGAAGAGACTGAAAATGGGGAGAAAGAAAATACAGATCACGAGAATAATGGACGAACGGAACAGACAGGTGAGAAGCAAGAAATCTGTGTGAAGTGCTCATCAGTAATCCTAAAAATGAATGGAGACCGAAGTTTGTTTGTTGTCTTTATTCACCCCTTTAGAGCTGCTCAGTGTCTTCCTGTGGCTACAGATGACGTTACCAGAAAACAGAGAAGAAATCTCTCTTAAGTCTTTTAATCACATTTTTAGGGGATATTGTTGTTATAAGTTCCAGCAATGGCTCCTTTAAATGAAATTCACTGCTATTACCATACATTAGAAGTATTTATGATGCAGATGTGCATCAGAATGACTTCTGATCTTTAGGAATAGTTGTCGTGAGTCTGACTAAAGATCCAGCTAATCCAATATCTTTTATCCAGCGATGGTCTGAAACAAATAACCAGTGTTGTGTAGGATAGAGATGCACATGTTACACTGCTTTGTAATCCTCTTCCAGGTTCTAACTATTCTTAGCTCAGTGATTTCCTGAGCTGGATGTGGTTTCCGTATATTTAGTAACCATTAATGGATTTCCACCCCCCTGTCCCAGTGGACTTGTTCAGTCATCCTTTGAGCCCTTATAAAGTTGCAGCATTTACAACATTTTTTTGGCTTATGCTGTCTGTAGGTTTGTTGTATGTTGTTTCAAGAAAGCCCTTTTCATTTATGTTTAGTTATGCTTCTGCTCGTTTTTTTAGCTCTTCTATGAAAGAGGCACAAGTCAGTCCCTGTCTGGTCTGTCTCTACCTTGCTTGTTATTCTGTGGAACTCTGTCATGTTTTCTTATTTTCTCTTTAAATAGCTGTTTTTAGGCTTAAGCATCCTAGCTTACTTAGTTGTCTTTACACAGAATTTATTCTACACCTGTAATTGTACTCACTGCTTGTCTCTGAACATTCTTGAGTTCTGTGTTCCTTTTTGATCACAAAGGGGCCCAGAATTGCACTCAGTGTTCAAGATGCATGCAAAATATGGATGTATAGCAGTGGTTTCTTTTTCTATTCCCTTCCTACTTTTGGCTTTTCTTTTTTAACTTCTGTTGAGCACCAGCTTGATGTTATTTATCTTTTCAGAAAGATAATGATTGATGTTGGGGTTGCGATAGAATTCCATAAGACTGTCTTGCTGCTGATGTGCCTGCTCAAAGCCCATTGTTTTGTATGCAAAATCAGGATTGTTTTTCTCCCTGTATCACTTTAAAGCAGTGTAAACTCTGAGAAGGCTATATATAGCAGAAAAGTATTACTGGAGTTTGGGAGAAAGCCAAGTATTGTGTTTGAACAGCTTTAATCACACAGTGACTGTGTGTTTGATGTAGATAAATGTCTTAAGTACACATAGTAAAAGCAGAGGAATTGTAATTTCTTTCAGATCTTGCTCTGGAACTTCAGACAAGTTGAGGAGGTAGAAATTGGTTATTCTCACCTTCCTACCCTCCTTTAACTTGCTTGGAGAGCAAGTTATAAACTTGCTGTTTTTGTCATGTTTGAAGTTGGAAATACCCTTTTATATATATCCATATCATTGTTCAGATCGTTACTCTTTTTTTTGCATGAAGAGGAAGGGAAATAGTGCTTTTGTTTGAAATTTTAGTTGCTCTGCATGGATTGAAGCAAAATATGGAAATTAAACTTTAACTTTCCTTATGGGTATTTTTTGGCAAGCACATTTTTTGGCTTCACGGTGATTAGGAAGAGCTTTTAGGCCCTAACTTCACACTGGAGTTAGGTTTGCCCATTTCCTTTTCCTGTGGAAAAAGATTTTAAAGATATAAAATAGCTTTTGTCAGTGGAGCCATGTTTTGTAGACATGTTGATGGTGTTCTTTAATCCCACGGGTGATCAGTGTTTTTTGGCAGCAATTATGTGCTGCTTTGACATACTAGGGTGCCCTGATGCACAGGATATCTGTTAGATATGAATTTACTTTGAATAATTTTTTTCATTGAGCTACATAAGGAACGTAGTTAGGGCTTATTTTGCTAACCACATAGCATAGTTCATTTGTATTTTGTGAATGTTTTGGTGGTATGAGTAGCTGATTAGTAGGTCACTGATGAATATGTGAGTGATGTCCTGTCTTTCTGCTTAGTGTTTTTTTGTTTGGAAGTACAAATAGCCATGTGATAGAACTGTGCTTGTAGCGGGTCTGTATAACTTGTGGGAATAAAAACTCTTGCTTTATCAGAAGCATCTTATTTCTAATGAGATTGTATGTGAGCTCAAAACAATTTTATATAGACCATTACTCTGGGGAATGATAATTGTCTTGAGACTGTCATTGTCTTATTAATTAAGCAGTCTTATCTGTTTGAATGAGCTGTCAGGCATTTATGTTCATTAAGATGAAGAGAATAAAGTGCAGTAAATTAGATATCAGAGGAGCTCAATCTTGCTGCCTTTACCCTCTTCCTCCTCTGCCCTTCTTTGCAAAGTGATATTAGAGTAGTATTGAGGAGGCTGTTGGCCTGCATTGAAGATGCATCATTTTTGTTTTTTGTGTGGTCTTAAAAAGCTGCTGTTTTGTAATATATGTGGATAGCAAGATTTCCACCTAAGTTTGGGAGAAATACGACCCATTAAAACTTACTTCTGTACTTGGTCAGCTTGTTGAAATGATGACTGAAAACAGTACAAGCAGCAGACACACAAAGATGAAGCCTATTGGACTTCTGGCTTCTTGTCTCACTAATGCATTGTAATCGTCAGCAATAAGTAGATCAATAAATAGTAGATCTACTTGCTATAGTTGAACCTTGGGTGAGTTGAGTACTAACATAACATTGTTTCAGAGGGAGTGTGGGGTCTGGGGCTTCTACCCAAACCCCTTTAAAAATGTTGAATAAAAATATTACAAGTATATGAATACAGATTGTTCAGGCCTTGCATGGGGCTCTGTGTGTGGTTAGAGGTCTTTAAAATGTTTCTTAGAAGCATGGAATAGGAGTGTAGGTGGAACTGAGGTTGTAATTTATCTGACTGCATCTATGGAAAAAAAAAATGGTCTGCTGTTCTTCCTTCCGTGCAGCCATGGAGGTGTTTAAAAGAACTTATTTGCTCTTACTGTCTTGAATTGTTCAGATGTTGGGTTAATTTGACTAGTGGTGGATGAGCTGAAGTAACAGATGCTTTGTCATAATTTGCATTGGTTTTAAGAAGTAGAAAGAACTGGATCATTGCCTGACATTAACTTTGAGATTCTGAACTAGCTTCTTCAGAATGAGGTCAAGACTAGATCAACAGAATCCCTGGGAGGTTTTTTTTTCCCCTGATTTTAATGCTTCAGTAGTGCAGCTCTTAAGGTAATGACTCGCCCTTCCCCCAAACCAAGATGTCCTAAGTTTTGTTACAGATCTTCACTCTTTGTACAGTACGTGCCAGGTACGCGTTCTGGGCTTAGTTAATTGGTGTCCATTTTCTTTCATACAATAAGAACATTTCATGTGGGATTTTTTTTTTTTTTAATGTGCACCATGGAAATAAAAGCAGAAACAACCACCCCTTCTGTGTTGAAGAGCAATATTTTCGTAGAACGGTCTTTATGTTAGAAGGAAACTGAAACTAAGGAATATTTTAAAGTAATAGTTTAACACCTATTTAATTTCAGTCGGATGCAAGGCACAGGAAACCTTAAGTGAGAATTGTTTTTGTTGTAAATTGAAATAACAGAGAAGACTTATTAATGTAAAAAATAAAATCTATGGTCTTAAATGTGTATAAACAAATGTTTCTTTTGTCTTTGTTGGTGTGCACCCGTAGTAGTTCACAGTACTGCCTTGGCAACAATCGTAGCAATTTCTCATGTTAACATGGCTTATTTTTAGCTCAGCCTCATCCTTGCAGTGGGAATGTCTTTGTCCTGGAAACAGTATGTTCTGCGTGCATTTTCCTTGTACATGTAACGTGTCTGCCTTTTAGATGGTTAAAAGAATATACAGAATCCAAATCACACACTTTCCAACATGAAACTTCCCTATCTCCTTGGAGAATTGTGCTTATTTTAGAAACAGGGAAATTTAAAGCTGATAGGCAATTTGGTCAGTATTATGCAATACTGCTTGATGAGAACAGCAAGTGGATACCATGGAGCACTGACAGCACAGTTACTGGAGAATGAGCAGCAGATAGAAGGAAAGCAGCATGAAATCATGCTTGCATGTAGACATCAGTTGTGGCTATTGAACGCAATGCATTCACATTCCATATCTACTAATACAAATAGAATTAATCCGTGTTTCTATTAGTGCTTGCATTTATTATCTATATTCCTACAGTGCTCCATGTAACAATTTGCATTTAAAGCTGTGGGCAGCGTGTGCTGACAGAGACATTTTGGTGTGCCTGGATGGTGTTTAATAGCTGGAAAAGAATCACAAATCCACAGTGCCTTTGCCTGCATGTCAAGTGGACAATTCTGTTTTAATAATAGTTACTGTTAGCAAGGTGAATATCTATGCTGTTAATGTATGTCTGCATCTGTGAGACTTCTTGTGTGGTGAGAATGATGCTATGCATTTTCTCTTACAGGTGGTAATGAAGTAAGTGTGTAAAATATTCATCTCTAGAAAAAAATGCCTTCAGGTGTGAATACAGAATTTTCCCATCTCCCAAATATGTCCTATAAATTATTGAAACCCATAATACTGGTTTCTTTATTTCTTTAATTCCTGCCTTGCAGATAGGTCACTCACATGCCACAGAGATGTATGCTTTGAGGGGCATGAATAGATGGAGGTGTTCCATCGAACTGAAACACTTGAAAGCTCTGAAAGTGCTATCTTTATTAAAAAGATCTCGGAACATTAACTTGGTAGTATATTAGGTGCCTTTTGGAGGTACTTAAATAGACAACACTGAACGTCCTTTAGAGAAAATTGTTCTTAGCATTAGACCTGTACTTAATATGACTTGATATCAAATACATTGATACTCTTACATCCTTAACCAGCTGAAATCCTGTGAAAGAGCATTTCTTTAAGTCCTTTTTTCCATAGCTGATGGTGATTTCTGTAAGGATTTGTTTTTGCTTTTTCCCATTTGGCCAATACTCTTTTGTGATGGTCTGTAATAGATTTACTTTCCCACAAGCAACAGTTTTAAGAGGACAGAGTGGTTCTTTCATGATGTTCCCAAGTGGCAGAAAACAACTTAGAAATGTAAGTGAAGCTGATAACATGGTATGATAGTAGCCAAGTAAGAATATTTCTTAGCTCCCTTTCTTACCATAGTATATAGTAACTATGTTACTTCCAGTAATACTGCAGGTTTGCTCATTTGTCAGGACTAAGGTTCTGAGTAGCTGTAAAGCTGGAGCAGGCTAACTCTAAACATCACAGAAGAAAGTACTTTAATACCTGGAAAGCTGGTGTTGGTTGTGCAGAAGGAAACACGTTAGGGGATTACTACAGAGTTTAACTCTTCTTGGTGTGTACTGGAGGAAGGGCTGGGTGGGAAATGCTGTTTAGCTTAGTTAAATACAGAGTACTGACCCCAAAAGTGACACCCAAATCTGATAGGCAGTTCTTAAGCTTCTACGCATGTTCAGTTATGCTGCTTGGTACCAGAAATGAATTGCTTAGGCTCAGCTGGTGTATTTCTTGAATGCTTGATTGTAGTCCTTCATAACGTTGCTATTTGGAAAAAAATAATATGTATCTATTTTTTTCCTCTAGGTCACCTTTACGAAGAGGAAGTTTGGATTAATGAAGAAGGCGTATGAGTTGAGTGTACTCTGTGACTGTGAAATAGCACTCATCATTTTTAACAGCTCTAACAAACTCTTTCAGTATGCCAGCACTGATATGGACAAAGTTCTACTTAAATACACAGAATACAACGAACCCCATGAAAGCAGAACCAACTCAGATATCGTTGAGGTAACAATCTGAATAGTTGAGCTGTGTTCTTATCTCATTAACACTTTGAATATGGAGCAATATATAGTATTTTAAGATATTTTAACTAAATGTATTTATTAACTTTATCATAAAACATCAACTGCTGTTTTCAGTCTGTTTTCGTTTTGTGAGGGGAAAAGTCATTTTTTACATCCGTGTTGTCAACCCGTCTGCCCTCCACCCCCTGCCTGTTATTTTGGTAGCTTGTTTGATTTAAGTCACATTTGATAATGGAAATAGAAGCATGAAAGATTTTTTTTGTGTGTGTTTTTTAGGGAGAAGGAGTAGGGGGGAGGGGGTGGATGATTCTAAGGCTTCATGGGGGAAAAAACCCAACAAATCGAGTGGAGAGTATATCTAGAGCGTGGAGCTCAGCTTAAACACAATTACAGCTTGCCCCTCCTCTTTTCACTTTACCAGTCCAGTGTTGCACACAAATCAGCCAAGGACTTTGCTTCTTGTCGAGCCGAAAGAAAGAAGTTAATCTGTGGAGGAAATTGACTTCATTAATTTTGTTGTCCAGTTACTTTGTATATCAGTTAAAATATAGTAAAATGCACGCTGTTTTTGCCGTCATAAAATAGCGTGAGTGTATCATAGCTTCTATTTTCATTGTGCTTAAACTTTCAATATAGACTCAGGTTTTTTTCAGTATGTAGTTTCTAAACTAGGTACTGTAGAAATCAGGATTCTTTTTGTAGTTTGAGCCTTTTTCAACTATAGCTGAGTTTCAGAGGAGTGATGTCTGCAGTAGTCCTATAAATGAACCAGAACAGGTGTCTGACATTTAAATTCCAGAGCTGTCTTCCAAACAAATGCTTGCCTGTAAGGAGTGGTTTGGGAATAATGGGTTAGCCTTGTATAGCTGAAGAACTGTATAATCAGGGGATGACAAGAACAGGGAGGATACCATCTGATCTTTTAAAAAAGTTTTCAAACAAAAATCAGTTTGAGAAAAATGAGAAATGAACTAATGCCTTATTTCTTTCTGAGAAGATTACTTGCTAATTTGTTATCTGCCTTTTGTGATCGTGAAGATACCTCCCTAACATCTGTCCTCAGCTTTGAGTACAATTGAGAGGGATAACACAAGCTGTGAAGAGTTGCAGGAATGTTACTTCGTTGTTGGATAAGTATAAGTAAGGGTTAACCAACCAGTGAAGAGGAAGGTAAAAACCTGATTCTTTCAAGATGAGCCTGTGACAGACATAGATTTGAGATAGGGGTGCAGGCAGACTGATATTTGTTCTGCAGGCCTCGCTGTGTTATGGCTCATGGGAACAATTCTTCACATCTTCAGTGAGAACCTCTTTGAAAATCATTTCTGTGCCAGGCTACTTGTGTACACGTGTATTTTTTTCCAAACTGATGTCAAACGTTTGACCCCTGGCAGCTGCATAGAGAAGTGCAATCAGTACTCAAGTGCATATATCATCTCTATTCTGGGGGAATATGCAAGGACTCATCTACAGATTCCTTATAACATTGCTTCTGTAGGTTCATTGTATTATTCTACTATGATATTTGAGATATTTCTGTGGTTGAAGAACAAGAGTATGAATTAGAAATGCCTCTCTCCAAAATGCATCTGTTCACTCTCTGGTCTTGTCCTAGAAAAGAAAGAATAGAAATAAATATGAAGCTCTTCAGTCTGAGAGAGGAGTCAAGTCATAGCTCCAGATTCTTAGAAATGTTCTGAAAGATAACACAAAGAGGCTACTTTTTATTGTGCCTACTCAGAAATACATTTATAGCCCATATATATCACAGAAGAACTTATTAAATCAATTTAGAATAAATAGTTATAGCTGATGTGTGTCTGGTTAACATTTAGTAGTTCCTTTATCTCCTAGAATATGACAGGTAGTGTTTGTTATATTCTAGCTTCACTGCAAAACTAGTCTTGACCCACTGGGCTTGACAGGAGTTCGGTTGCTGTGGTAGAGAAGGAAGTTAATTTGATGTAGGCCAGTTACTTATTTTCAGCACTGTGTAGATGGCAGTACTGTGAGTGATTAAATGAAATCGATGAGACATCTTCCCCTTGTAGTTGCCTCCTGTTCACTCTTGGCATAGGAATTGCTTTGATATGCCCAGAGCTTCATATCTTCTTGCTGCTGGAACGTTTGTGTGAAAACATAGTAGGAGGGAGAGCACTGATGTCTTAAATGAACACTAGATTTTTTTTAAATGTGTTCCCTGCACCCTTATGTCTTTCATTATGCGTGGTACTGTAGATACAAATGCTCTGTTGTTGTCATATACTAGTTCTGTTGGTCCTTCCATGGTTTTTGCCATGACTTTTTTTCTTTGATAGCTTGATATGGGTGTGAGGAATATATTTTTTTTCAGCCATCATGGCAGAATCATAGACATCTGAATAGCTGGAATTAGAAGTCTGTGTTTTATTATTAGTTGGGTTCTCAAACTATCAGCAGTTTACCTGAGGATGGTCCATCCATTGCCATGTAGTGATTCTAAAATAAAGGAAATAATGTTGTAACAGATACCCTTCAAAGCTGAATAATGTCTGGTTTGTAGGACATATTTGATATAAAGAAAAACATGGCAATGAACAAGCAGTTAAACTCCATCCTAATTAGTAGGAGATGCTAATGATTATTGGTCTGGATCCTTGTGGGTCTCTTCCTATTCAAGATACTCTGTGACTGGTGCAGATTGTTTAGAGCACGTGACCAACTTTTTGGGTTGCCTAGGCCATACTGAGTGAAGAGCAATTATCTTGGGCTGCATATAAAATATATAAATAATGTATACAAATAAAAAAATCTCCCTTTACTTTTTATATTTTTATTAAAACATAAAAAAGAGGGCAACAGAAACATGAAACTGCTGGGTTGGATGCATGTGGTGAGTAATCCTTCCAGGTTGTGTCCTTCTGTCACTCAAGAGAGCTTCATGAAGCAGTGTGTCTATCCTCTTTTCCAGTCTAGGAGTCCAGGATGAGGACAGGCTCTCCCTGCTTTATCAGCTTGACTTCTGTCTTTTTCTCTCTTTGGCATTTTGATGTTCCTTGAGTGATAAAGCAAACCAGGGTTTATTTAACTTACATTGGGCTGTGTTGGCTTTGTATGTTCTATTGTATCAACTCATCAAACTGAGATGATACAGTTTTTAGAAGTCTGTCTAAAAAACAACCCGTTTTCCCATTTGCCATCTGTGCCCATGAGAATTTTGGATAGTGTCAGTGATCCTCTGCACTGTATAGCTTTGCTGTTATAGGGTGAAGTGCAGTATAAGGCTTAGGCTGTACACCAGGTATTGACAGCAGTCCTTGAAATATGCAATAATTTGATTTAAAAAAAAATCATAAATATTAAAGGCAATCTGTCCTAAGCTACATCATATAATTACTGTAAACATACATTTTCTTGTGAAAAGACTGCAGTATTGGAATAGTCGTGGGTTAGGTGTAACTTAGACCACGTTCTGAATGTTTAATTAAATGTCTTAGCATGGGAAATGCTGACTCAAGTAGAAAGTAATGTCTGCCATGACTTGGTGTGATAGTGGTCATGTCATATTTTCAATAGAAGCAAGGCAGAATGCAGGCTCAGTGTACCTGCTGCTACTTAGAATAGTGCAGATATGCCACTTCAGTCTTGCAGAAGCTGTATTCAGTGCATTGTCTTGCATTATAATAGCAAACTGGAATTCCTGTTTCGCTGCCTCTTCACAAAATGCTAATGATGAGCTATTGTAGGAGCAATCCATGTTCTCTAGTCATAGACATGCTTAGTGTCAGGGATTTGATTGTCAGATCATAGTTTGAGTATGTGCGTAGAGCTCATCTGCACTTGTAGAGCCTGCAGCATAAAGAAGCAGATGTATCTCCACAGCCAGATGGAGCATATGCCAAGAGACACGTGTGGAGAGCATAAACAGAAAAGCTGGTGTTGAAATGCTGTGTTTATAAACCTAAAGCATTTTTTTTTATTTTTAATCCAGTTTTCTCCACCTACCCAGCGTTGCTTCTTTTCCAGGCTTTCGATGAGCAATGTGTTTTTGAAATGTTCTTGTCTCATATAGAATAGCAGTTTAGCCTTGAACACTGTTGTATTTTGTTAGCACCTTTCATTTGGTTCATAGTTAAAATTTGGGTGAACTTGGTTTTAAACTGAAGATCTGAGAACTATATGTAAATATACATGGATGCGCATATGCAGATGCAAAATTAGACGAAAAAGACCTTCAATTAATTGATCTTATTTCTTTTCTTGGTAGTTTTCACACTTTGCTGTATACCTGATGCGTAGATGTGTATTTGGCACACAATTTGGGCTTCTGTATTTTGCAATTAAAAGCTAAAAAAGAAGATGGTGGAAATTGAATGAGTTCCTTCAGAAGTGTTTTCCTTTGAAGTGTTTTATAAGAGAAGTTGCATGGTAAATTTTAAAAAGGAAGAGAAGAAAATGCTCTCCAGCTAGCTTCCATGGCAAATGGAAACTGATGGCTAACGTAGGTGAAATTTCAAAATTTATACCAAAGATCACAGCTTTATAAAAGGAAGATAGTGCTGAGAAGTGATACCTTGAATGTTGAATTACACATAGTTGATTGTAGGAAGATTGACAGTGCTCGATTAGTTTATATCACTTCCCATTCCTTCATATCTGATAGATGGAGAGCTGCCAGAAATGGGCTAAAGTAAGTTTACCTGAAGTAAACAAAACAAAAAAAAACCACCCAAGGTGTGGGGCGAGGAGGATGAGAAGCTATGAATAAACACCATACTCTGAATATTACTGTCATGTGTTGCTATTGTTTGGACCACTTGTTTTGGTCTCCACATAACTTTGACCACACTGTAGCAGCGACTCGTACGCGTTTAAAGGAATTAAGAAGCTTCAAAATGGTTTTGGTTGAGTGAGGAAATGGCTTGATAATCTGTTCAGGATGCTGAGGAAACGTAGGCATTATTGGACCTGATTTGCTAAACAATTATGTAAATGTAATTA